TGCCCCGCACACCTGTACTGCCCTGCGCACCTGTACCGCCCCGCACACCTGTACTGCCCCAACACACAGTGCGCACACCTGTAGTGCCCCGCACACCTGTACTGCCCCGCACACCTGTACTGCCCCGACACACAGTGCGCACACATGTACTGCCCCATGCACCTGTACTGCCCTGCGCACCTGTACTGTCCCAAGCAGTGCCACACACCCCCCAACACACAGCACCCACAAACACCACCCCTACACCTAGCCCCCCACATATACGCTCTACACCCACCGGTCTTCACACTGCCACATCACTCCCACACACACCACCTCTTAGACACATAACAACAGCTCACACAATCACCCAACACCCACCCCACAAAACTCTCTCACCCCTCATTCAGCTCTCTTAACAGCTTCTCACCCTTAACACCTTCTCACACCTACTACACACACACCCTTTGGCACCAGCACACACCTGGCTGTCTCCCCTTGCACCCTAATTTGATCCTCCCTGTTGTTCCTGGAGGACCACAGGACCCGTTCATTGGCCTGGTGTGGTACATGGATGAGCTCTGCCTGTACCGCATCCAACCCCAGACCCCCAGCCAGCCCCGCACAGAGACTTGTTGCCTGCACTTACTGACTGTCGGGCCTGGTCTATGGGAAGATGTCATGGTGAGAAATCAGTGTGGACAATGCTACTCAAATATTGGGGGATATATGGAAAAAAAATCAGTAATTGAGTCACATTTGGTAAATCTTTAATCTCCCCCAACAGGCATCTTTCTCACGACTGCAGGCGAGTGCAGCCAGCAAGAGTAGCTGAAGTGAACATGAACAGAAGAATAGGGTATGTGTCACTTAGAGTGTAACCAGGCCAAAAGTATTATTTATTGGCATGTTTAATAAAAATAACTCATCTTGCTAGGAAACATTGGGTAATATGTATTACAAAAAGAAGCAGACGAAACATTTCAGTCATCTTCCTAAATAAACAAACTCTGTAGTTACTTGGATAAGAAATGAGTTAAGAACCTAACCCTTAAAAAAAAAAAAAAAAAAAAAAAGAGAGAGAGAAAGATGCAAAATGGACATTAATGCAAGATTTGAGCTGAAGTCAATGTGGTGATCAGCTTAGGCAACAATGATTTGCTTTAAAATGCCTTTGTTCTGGTTAAATTCATGTTTTAAATTGCTTTAGCCAAAATGGTGCTTCACTTGTGTGAAGTGCTCCCAATACTACTTGGAACCTAACACGTGGTTTGGCACGAGGCAGCAAGTCCCTGCAGCCTCCTCTCTGTGCAAGGCTCAACATTTTGCAGGGAGAAAAACCACTTCACACCCCTGTTCCGGCACCTGATTTCCTGAATTTAGGGGAGAACGAGTAGTTGGGGGACAAATTCAAGGCCATACAGATTAGTTTTCCGCTTGCTGGAAATGAAACTGCAACTCTTCGGCTGTAAGGCCACAGCTGGGGGATGTTTCTCCTCCTGCCCTTCCATGGGAGCCCGGCCAGGCGCATTGCAACACCAGGCTCCGTGCCAGCTCTCCGGGCTGCTCCAGCTTGTCCTGGGCACATGTTTCTGCCCTGGGACCAGTAGCTGCACATAGGGAGACGAGTGGCTTAGTCCCAGCTTTTCCCGAACCCCCATCGAAGAGGTTGCAAAGGCAGCAGCGCCTTTGGCTTCTAGGACTGAAGTAAACCTTGGAGCGATGCTCAGATTTTGGTAAAAGAACTATATAGGTATATAGTTTGATAGTTTCTCTTTTGTTGTTGTTGTTGTTGTTGTTGTTGTTGTTGTTGTTGTTGTTGTTGTGTGTGTATGTGTGTGTTTGTGTGTTTTCAGAAATAAAGCAGCTCTGAGGCAAATGAAAACTCCTTTCAAGTTTTTGAACAGCTGACGCTGAGCTCTGAAAGTAAAATCAGCTCAATTAATTTTACTACAGGCTAAGCTGAAACCTGTAAGATAATGATCAGTAGAGATAAAAATAAATCAGATTGAAAACATTTGCGAATTGACACCAGGTATAGTGAAACTGCAGTCCAAGGGCAGATCTAAGGTCAGCTTTGCATCCCTTCCTTCCTTGCCACATTCCCGTTTCCTTCTCTGATTCCCACTCCTGTTCCCCGCGTGTTCCTGCCCTCAGACCTATCAAGTCTCTTCTGCCTCATGCTCTAGCCCTGGGGCCTGGTAGCAATTAAAGGAAGCATGAAGCAAATGTGATGGAGACCAATGCAGTGAGGTGCTTCCAGTCCCATGGCTAGAGGAGCCCTATCCGGTGTGGTGACATTGGATATGGGGCCTCACTGGCAGTGGGGCAGACCCACAGGATAGGGGAGGGTGGTGGTCTGCATCCTGCAGACCGAGGAAGCTCTTTAATGACAGAAATTGCAGTGGCCTTGG